AGCGCCCCCTGGCAAAAAAAGTATTCCGCGACCGCTTACTTCGAGTAATGGACGGGCCGGCCCTGCCTACAAGGCATCCGATTGCAGCTGAATCGCTAATAAAACACCTCGGTCGTTGAACTTCTTCCGCTTTGGTGAGGATTTATTATTTTAAATATTTTTAACGCTGAAATTGGCTTCGCTGGCCTCACCAAGGTTTAAGGACTGTCTTTGGTGTGGTCCTCAAGGATCTCCTCAGCTGGGGAGACCCTCCTAAAGCAGCTCGATATCAAGAGCACCTAGAGCTTCGGAGAGCTTCTGTTCAACCATCTCAAAGCTCCCTGCTTGAGCAGTATATACTATTATATATAATATACTATTATATATAGTATGTATACACACACACACACACACACACACACACACACACACACACACACAATTATATAGAGTATATAATATACTATTATACCCTGATACTAAGAGTTGTATTCCTCCTGTCCTTTTTTTTATCAGTGAAAATGTTACAAGGGAAAAATCCAGCTACACAGAAGCTAAGAAAGAAAACATAGATTTTCTGTTAGGAGACTTTCTTAACTGAAGTATGCCTACAACATCCCAGTACTGTTTAGGCAGCATGATCTTGTTAACGTGCCATGATTCATACAACCCAGATATATTCAGGCAGACTTGAATGGAGAAGGCCAAGGAGAAAACTTAGGACGGCACTTACTCATTGAGGGAGACTTTCCTTCGCTGTCCTCCATCATCCACCTTGGCTGCTGCCTTTGACTGGATTCAGGAAAACACTGACCTGCCTCAGGGATCCGTTCCAGACACAAATCCTGCAGCAGAAGCAGAAACAAGGGAAGGAAATGAAAGGGAGAATTGGGAAAAGAAAAGGCTTTAGGAGTGGTTGGGGAGTGGGAGGTGGGATATGTCGAACAGTTACATCTTCTGAATGAGGAGGATTGTATTCATTTGCTTCTCATGTTTTTAATAGCTAAAATATAACCTTTCTACAGGCTTGAAACAATTACAACACAGAGATAACAGTACAGAATAAGATGACAGATAAGCAGCATATCTTTACCCATGCTTAACTGGAAGCTTTTAGAGAAGCATGTTTCCTTGTGAGAAAAAAAGGATAGGAAGGACAGAGCCAATCTAATCTCCCTACCAAAGAGTTGCAGAACCCAAGGAAGCCACTGAGAAGGAGGCTCTGTCCCATCTTCCCAGGAGGTAAGACCATGAGAGGAGAGGCATCTCAGGCTGAGCCCAACAAGGGCAGAGAAAACACTTCTTGGAAAAGCTGAGACCCAAGCCATACGGAGCTGTACAGGAAATGACCAGTGCTATTAATTACCCCATCTCTTTAAAASGTACCCATGTTCTYTGTATTTCTGGGAAGRGGAATCCCATCATACAGGTCCAGGCTATCCTTGACCTGCCTTTTGACTGATGAGACGCAATTATCTCRGGCCTCWGKTTGTTCCAGAKTTRTCAGAAAACGTGCCAAGACATATGGATGGCCCTCAAAATGYCCAGAATGAACMGAGCTCACCGRCTCCTRTTCCTGCTTCTTCTCTGCCTGACTCAYGAGGAAGCSTTCTGCCAGGGCCACCGCCTGGGAACTGGTCTCTGCCCCACATTSTCTCACCCAGGACGACATCTCCGAGGGAAGGAGTGCCAGGAACTGCTCAAAGACCACCAAGTCCAACATCTCCCCCTTGGTGCGTCTTTCTGGCTGGAGCCACTGGCGGCAGAGAAGGTGCAGCTGGCTGCAAACCTCCCGAGGTCCTAACGTCTCCCTGTAGCCAAAGTCCCTGAATTGCTGGCGGCATAAATCTGAAGTGAGCACTTCCTCCAGCATGCGCTTCTGGGTGGCACTCTCCTCGAATGCTCCTCTAGGCTTGGCCTGAATGAGGGAAGGGCCTTTTCCCAGGCTGGGCTCAGAAGAGTCTTTCCCTCCCATCTTTTCAGTTAAACCTTGCACTGTTGCCAGGATCTCCTGCAAGGCAAAAACATTGGGAAAATTACTGAAGGTAGAAAGAAATGGGCAGGAAAAGCAAGCAAGATGTTTGATGAGGATCGAAAGAAAATGGGGGAAACAACCCCAGTCCCATTTTAGCATATCTCTGTGGCCATAAATGATGTTGCTTTTCAGTCCTTATACACCACTTACAAGATATTTTGGTGTCCAGAGCAAGCAAACAAGGTTATTTTATTTGTCATGTCAGGACAACCAGTCAAATTATATTACGTTTCTAACAGAACAAAGCAAACAAACAGACAAAATACAAAATTTGTGAGTTTGGTAGTTGATTAAATGTCCTTTGACCAGTATCTGGCCACTTGGAGTGCTTCTGGTGTTGCTGCAAGAAGGTAGCTTCTACCTATTATGCTTGGGATAAAGTGTAGTTTATACCAACAGTTCCCAAACTTTTTCGCTCAGAAGATTTTTTTGTCCTCCCCACGGAACCTTAACTCTGTCCCTAAGCCCTGTGAAGCCACAAAGTTATTCCTTTTTTCATTTACTCCTATTGCATGAGTGTTTTGTATAATGTAGTAGGCTTAGAAATTAAGAGAAAACAATGTATTGTTGAGGGCTTTCGTGGCCGGAATCACTGGGTTGCTGTTGTTTTTTTGGACTGTATGACCATGTTCTAGAAGAGAAAACATTTTAAATATAGCGACAAACCTTTAGTTTGGTACAGGAAGTTTTTGAATTCACAGCTAAAGTGATGAACGAACCTGTTTCATTTTGTTTGGAGACTGGGCTTCAAGTCCAGCAGCTGAATATAACAACAACAACAAACAATTTTGTGAGGGGCTTAACTGCTTCTATAATGTTGAGAGCTGTGCTGGTGGTAGTGTAAACTGCCAGTAGGTTCAACCAAGCCAGAGTGGCCTCAACTGAGAAGTTGAACTAAGTGCACCCAACCCAGTTAATGATGGTGAAACAAACTCTAAAGAAGTCTAGACTTGCTTGGTCATCGCCCAGGATAATAAGGAGCGTGGCGAGTGCTTCTCCTGGGCACCCGTCGACAAGTGGGCTACAGGAACCAGGACCCACTGCTGAGCAACCAGGTCATAGACCTGTAGGGCAACTGGAAGCAAACAACTACAGAAGCGACAGAAATTTTCAATGCCACAGAACCAAACTGTCATGAACTGCTATTATAGATCAGAACCCCAAAAAACATGGATACCAAAACCGGATGTACCCCTTATAGAAACTGGAATATCCAGCAAACTACTCCGGGGCTTCCGAATTCAGACTGACAGAGTTTTGGTGCACAATACTCCTGACCTCACTATAGTGTTAAAAAACCAAGTATGGATCGTCGATGTTGTAATCCCAGGTGACAGCAGGATTGAAGAAAAAAAAAACAATTGGAAAAGCTGTCACAATATGAGGATTTAAAGATCGAACCGCAAAGACTCTGGCATAAGCCAGTAAAGGTGATCCCAGTAGTGATCGGCACACTGGGCGCAGTGCTTAAAGACTTTGGCCTGCACTTACACAATTGGCGCTTACAAAATTACCAGCTGCCAGCTGCAAAAGGCCACCCTACTGGGATCTGCATGCATTATTCACCGATACATCGGATAGTCCTAGACACTTGGGAAGTGTCCGACGTGTGATCCAATACAACAACCAGCATAGTGATCTTGTTTGCTGTGTACTCATCTTGTTGTGTATCAATTAATAATAACTTTATTTCTATCCCACCACCACCTCCCCAAAGGGACTCGGGGTGGCTTACAAAGCACCCCAGGGTGCACATATAACACGCAACTGGTAAAAACAGTACAAAACAAGTCTGATAAAATTATAACAACAACCCACCCGTCAACACATGTCAAAATCAAAACAATACAATTCACAGGTGCCAAGTGTCAGTGTCATATGGGCCCATTCAGCCTACTCAAGATCAAAGGCCTGTCTGAATGTCCTGTTTTCAGGTTGGAACGGAAGGACTGAAGGATGGGGACTAATTTAATCTCTTTTGGGAGGGTGTTTGAGCCGGGGGGCCACCACAGAGAAGGTCCTCTCTCTTGTCCCCACCAACCAAGTTTGAGACAGTTGTGGGCCTGAGAGGAGGGGTTCCCCTGTCAATCTCAGAGCCCACACCAGTTCGTAGAAAGAGATGCGGAGTTGAAGATAGGTTGCACACAAAGCATATGTAATATATAAACCCAAAGTGGCATCCAAGTTACTACCAATTTTACTTATGGTGTAAGCATCACCTGGAAAGCCTGATTCTCTTTGATTGATGGACATGAAGGGCAGAAGAGCTCAGATAATCGTTTTGGCTTCTGACAGCTACATGCCTACCAAACCCTACCCAAAAGTCATTCAGTGGCACAGATTCAGAGGTTGTTTTTAAAAAGGAGAAATACACTGATTTCAGTAAGATCTTCATATACTGGTAGAGACTTTTAAAAAATAATAATGATTTTTTGCAGAACCCTTGCAGTGTTTTTGCGGAACCCTTGCGTTCCAAAGACCACAGATTGGGAAGCACTGGTTTACATCACTGTGATCACCATCAAAGGGAAAGAAGTGCAGAGAAGCAGATTCCTGCCAGCATCTGCCACATGAGGCAACCGCTTCATTGGCCTGAATGTCGGGCCTTTTCCAGAGGGTCAAAAGCTCAATGCGCTTTGTCCCATCTCTCAGTCTGAAATAAGCCATGCTGAGAGTCAATTGTGTAAGCAGTTAAGAGTTCTGGGCTGGAGACACCCTCCTATAAACCCCTAACTTTCATCCCAACCTCCCTTGGAGGGCTATTGTTAGTAATGGGTAAGGCCATTGACAAGGCCAAAATAAAGAAAGGCCCAGGCCCAGATGGATTTTCTGTCTTGTTCTACAAGCTGTACAAAGATGAAATAGGTTTATTATTGCTTTCAATAATGAATTGAGTGCTCCAGAAAGGGGAAACTCCAGACTACTGGGTATGATAGTCCTCGTGCCTGAACAAGGTAGACATATGCATTTTACTGTATTTGTATGCTCCTGCAGCACTATTATAAGCCTCCCTGAGTCCCTTTTGGGAGATTTTGGCAGGACATAAATAAAAGTACTACTGTTCTTCTTATTATTATTATTAGGAACAAGTCAAGAATTTCAGACAAATTTCATTAGTAAATTGTGATTACAAGTTATTTGCAGAAATATTATCAAATAGACTGAAACAAATCTCAGTGAAAACAATTCAAGGAGACCAAGTGGGCTTGAGAAAAGGCAGAGGAACGAGAGACCAAACTGCCAATATCCACGGGATAATGGAGGAAGGCGGGAGTTTCAGAAAAACATCTGCTTTTGTTTAGGGATTTATAGGTCATAACCTGCAATTTGTATTAGGACCGTAAACGTATTGCTACTGTGAAGCCAAACACCAATAGATCTGGACCAAATTTGGCACAAACACCAGACACGCCAAAATTTGAATACTGGTGGCTTTGGGGTGGGGGATTGATTTTGTCATTTGAGAGTTGTAGTTGCTGGGATTTATAGTTCACCTACAATCAAAGAGCCCCTCAAACCCCACCAACGATGGAATTGAACCAAACTTGGCATACAGAACTCCCATGACCAACAGAAAATACTGGAAGGGTTTGGTGGGCATTGCCCTTGAGTTTTGGAGTTGCAGTTCACCTATATGTCCCATTCTGGGCACCGCAATGGAAGGGAGATGTTGACTCTAAGCGGGAAGGTGTCCAGAGGAAGATGGTGACTAAAGTCATCAAGGGTGTGGAGAACAAGCCCTATGAGGAGTGTCTTCAAGAGCTGGGCATGTTCAGCCTGCAGAAGAGAAGGCTGGGAGGAGACATGATGAGGGCCATGTATAAATATGTGAGAGGAAGTCATAGGGAGGAGGGAGCAAGCTTGTTTTCTGCTGCTCTGGAGACTAGGATGCAGGACAATGGCTTCAAACTACAGGAAAGGAGATTCCATCTGAACATTAGGAAGAACTTCCTGACTGTGAGGAGCTGTTCAGCAGTGGAACTCTCTGCCCCAGAGTGTGGTGGAGGCTCCTTCTTTGGAGGCTTTTAAACAGAGGCTGGATGGCCATCTGTCGGGGGTGCTTTGAACAGATTTTCCTGCTTCTTGGCAGAAGGGGGTTGGACTGGATGGCCCACGAGGTCTTTTCCAATTCTATTATTCCATACATCCAGAGAACACAAACAAAGATGGTTGTGGACCAAATTGGCACAAATATCGTGTCATAATTTGTTAGGGTTGAGAGGGGTTTTTTGATTTTGTCATTTGGGAGTTGTGGTTGCTAGGATTTATAGTCCACCTACAATCAAAGAGCATTCGGAGACTAGGACGTGGAGCAATAGCTTCAAACGACAGGAAAGGAGATTCCAACTGAACATTAGGAAGAATTTCCTAACTGTGAGAGCTGTTCAGCAGTGGAACTCTCTGCCCAAAGTGTGGTGGAGGCTCCTTCTTTGGAGGCTTTTAAACAGAGGCTGGATAGCCATTTGTCGGGGTGCTTTGAATGCAATATTCCTGCTTCTTGGCAGAAGGGGGTTGGACTGGATGGCCCACGAGGTCTTTTCCAATTCACAAACAAAGATGGTTGTGGACCAAATTGGCACAAATATCGTGTCATAATTTGTTAGGGTTGAGAGGGGTTTTTTGATTTTGTCATTTGGGAGTTGTGGTTGCTGGGATTTATAGTTAACCTACAACCAAGGAGCACTCCGAGCCCAGCCCACAATGGATCTGCAAAAAAATTGGCACACAGACCCAACATGGCCAACAATATGTAATACAATATAATACTACTACTAATAATAATAATATGATATTGTAATTATATATTTAAAAATGAATGAATGAATGGTTTATTGGCCATAGGCCATGACATCAATAATATACTAACTTTATAAACACTTTTCACTTTTTAAAACGCAATAAGAATTAAAACTAAAGCAAATTCTTTAAAATTATGAAAGCAGAAACATGACAATATGTGTACTATTACTAATAATATGACATTATAATATTATAGTACAATATAATAATATAGAGTATTAATATTATGGCACTAATATAATATATTGTATTGACTTATTCCTTGTAAGCTGGCCCGAGTCCCTCTCGGGGTGAGAAGGGCACCATATCCATGTCGTAAGGAAATAAACAAAATAACTTTGAATACTGACGGAGTTTGGGGGCGATTGGCCAACCATTTTGGGAGT